GAAACAAGTGAAAAGAAATAACAAACTGGGATATATATTTGCAATTCTCATAACCAATGAAAGATTAGTAGAGAATTATATGGAACCCTAAAAATAAAATTTAAAAATCCAACCAAGTAAAAGTAATGAAAAGGCAATTTATAGAAGAAAATGGAATTACCAAGAAATACATGAAAAGATGCTCAACTTCACTAGCAATGAAACGGAAATAAAATGAAAACAATGCCCTATTTCACATCCATCAAACTGGCATAAATTTAAAAATCTGACAATACCCAGCATTAATGAGAATGTGGAACAACAGAGACTTCATTCCACTGCTGGTGGGAGTAAAATTTCCCACAAACACTTAGAAGTGTATTCTGCTAAGATTTTGCAACTCTGCACTATCCACACTTTTAAAAGGAATTCCTCTTCAAGGTACAATTCCTGGAGAATCTCTCAGTCATGTGAACAAGAAAACATAGATAAGAACTTTCACAGCAATGTCGTCTGTAATAACAAAAAACTGGGGGGGAAAACATTTCATGTACATTAATGGGAGAATGGATAAAAAATGTGGTATATTCATATAGTGGAATACCACATAGCTCTTAAAATTAATGAACTAGAGCTAGGAATATCACCAAAAAAAGACTGAATGACATGTTGCAAATGAAATGCAAAGAATGACACTTTTTATGAAGTTTAAAAACATGCAAAACAATACATATATTTGTATGTACAGTAACATACAGTTGACTCTCAAACAACATGGGTTTGAATTGCATGGGTCCACTTATGTGCAGATTTTTTTCATAGACAATTTGAAAAAACTTGCAGACGAACCACAGAGCCTAAAACAGATGACATAAACTTATGGTATTGATAAATCCAGTATGCTACTGTAAATGTATTTTCTCTTATGATTTTCTTAAGAACGTTTTTCCTCTAGCTTACTTTACTGTAAAAATACAGTATATAAGACATATATAAAATATGTGTTAATTGACTGTTTATGTTATCAGTAAAGCTTCCAATCAATAGGTTATTAGTAGTTAAGTTTTAGGAAAGTCATAAGAAGATTTCTGATTGTGCAGCAGGTGGGTTTCTCTAACCCCCACATTGTTCAAGGGTAAACTGTATATTATAAAATAGAGTTCACAGCTTTTTGGAGAGTGTTAAACTCTGAGAAGGGAGGCAAAAGAATAGGATAGAAACTCACTGTGTTCAAGAATTGACTTTAAGTACATAAATGTTATAAATTTGAACATATAAACTTGTAATACTGAGGAAGTACTAACAATATCTATTTTTATATTAGAGTTTCTTATAAAATCAAATCAAATCCCCAAGCTACCTCATTTTCAAGTTCTAACATAACACAAGCCAAAGACAAAGCAATACACACATTCAAATTTCCCTTGGAAAGTCTCATTTTAAGATAAAAGTTCACGCTTCAATCCACTGTGTCAGAATTTTATAGAGGTAGAATTTGAGGTCAGCTCTGTGGGACACAAGTAGGTGTATCTTTAAGGAAGGAGATTCTAAGGTTGTTGAAAAAAGCAAAAGTCTATCAGTGAATAGTAAATGGCAGAGACAGAATTTGGCAAGAAAGATTGCCTGGACTAGGTAAGGAGAAAAAAGATATGCAAACAGAACTAGAGTCAGGGACCAATGGAGTGAGACTAGAAAAATTGGTACAGAATGTAAGGAAATGACATTCCTTTTACCACTACCACTATATTTTTCTCCTGTGGCTCTGTCCCGTTTTACCTTAAAATCACCTAAGAAGGCTGCACCAACCAGGCTTTACATCAGGAACCCTATATTCCCCTTCAAGATGCAGGGCTGAGGTCTGTGTATATTTTTGTTTTTGCCTCAGCACAACTTCAAAGGAGTTTTATTGAACAAAACAAAAAATAAATCCAGATTTGAATAAATCCAATAAATATTTAGAGCTCTAATGCTACCATTCCTAGCATACCAGTAGGGATTTGTAGGTTCTGACTCTGAAAAAAATAGGAACTTCCTGGCCTTTTGGCCTGCTTCCATGTGATAAGTCATATTTCATCATCAACTTATGAGTGCCTTCTTAGCCATTTTGACCCACTGCAGCTTTTCCTCTGAATCTGAGAAAAGGGTTTCTTCCCCACATGAATGTCAGAAAGACTGCTCACTCTCTGGTGAGACTCCGTATGAACCAAAGGAATATAGTTTCATCTTTAAAGGCCCTTAATAATAAAATGACCATATCATACATATAGCAAGAGGTAAGATTACTTCCTGCAGGTAGAAGTACTGTCCGAAAAGTGAGGGAGAAAGAGGACAGTGTCAACACCTTTACAAAGAAAGTATGCCTGGAGGTTTGGGTCTTCTCTTCAGGGAAGATGGCTGCTCTAAATAGAGAGAGTATGCAAATAAAGCATGTCATGCATTTCTAGTACTATAATAATAACACTATATAATAACTGCCTTTTTATGTGTATATGTGTCCTCCATTAGACTGAGTTCCCTGAGGGCAGTAATTCAGTCTATTAAATTTTTGTGTCGCCATAACTTAATACAATGTCTGACACACAGTAATCATTCAACGCAGGTTTGTTGAATGAAAGGTGAACAAAGATATGACAAAAAAAGAAACAATGGTGAAAATATGACTGAACCAGAGAGTAGGTGAAAAAGACAATGACATGGCAAAGGAACATTCCTGTAGACATCTCAAGTTAAATAATGATGTGCTTGTATTACTTAACTATTTCAAGTTAAAAAGGAGCTTTAAGTTATAAAAATGCAATATATAATTTTCCTTCTATGATGAAAGTTTAAGGACAATCTGGACTCCTGGGTATTTCATTCCACTTTATCTATTAATTCCATTCACTTGTCTAAAAGAAGTTACAGATGGGTCTCAATTAAATTCACTCTTTTGCCTTTAAAATGCCTTTTGGATACTGACTTAATCACACTTAACAAATGAGTACCTGAAGTTTTGGTTAATGGCAATGTCCATGAAATAATCCATACACAGCAGTATTTTTATGTCTGAATAGCAGTGCCTCTTTTACTACATCGGTACTAAACTGTGAAAAGCTAAACAGGTAGAGCAACTCGGCCTACTTCTAGAAGTTTTCAATCAGAAGACAGTGGGCTTCCAGGAAAGATTTCCCTGGAAGAAAGAGTTCCACAGTTTTTAAACTTGGAAATCATTTGTCTTACTCTATTTTGCCCTGTTTTATTTCACTAGGAAAAAATGAAAGTCTTCACACCAGCAATAAAAAATACCAGTCTCACTGCAATAAAGGAAGAAATCATTAGGTGTTCCAAAAGCAGACGCTTCCTAAATTTATGCCAGTCACCTGTATTAAACTACCATTAAAAAAGCTGAATTATGGAAATACATATTTGAAGACTATCTAGGGTCAAGATACTGTATAATTACAAAAATTTTTAGCTCCCTGGGAATAAAAGCATCTTATAATGTACATGGTATTTGACTTTTGAACACCCTTTTGGAATCACATAATATATCAAAATAGAGCACTTTCTAGTCTCCTCATTAGAAAATTTTAACTATGAAACAGGTGGCTCACTGCTGTAATGTGAAGTATCTGCGTGACTCTGGTAATTTTCAGCCACGCGTTTTTTTCATTCCACCAAGTCCTTAAACTGGATACCTAGGGTTCTGTTAACTACTGCTCCACAAATCTTACTTGGCCAGTTTGTTTTACTTTTATTCCAGTCCCCAAAATAAAAGATAATTTCTCTTACACCGCCCATCTTTTTCTCATTTCATGGTCACTGAGACAAAAGCGCTCCTACAACCCCAACAAATAAATACTAGTTGTTCTGGACCGGTTTGAGACCCTAGGGTTTTCCTTTTCCTACCGCAAGACAACATTTCTTAGCACTTGCGCCATCCACGGAGAGAGAGTAACACTCCCAACCGTTGTAAATAAATCCTGAAGCTACGCTCTCAGGGCTTGGATGCATTTGCAGATAACCGAGGTGAAATAGGTTCTTCCTACTGAAT